GGAAAGGCCTGGGCTCCTTGCCAGGCTCGCTGTTGATCTGCAGGAGGGCTGAAGAGGCTCATGCTCTTGGGGAGGTTGGTGGTCGGCACCTGGCATCCCCGCCTGAGGCTTCCACTCCCACCAGAGGGGTCTAAGGACCTGCATTTCCTTCAGATCAGAGGCCCTGGTTTTCAACAGGAGACTAGACACCTCTCCAAAGGGCTGTGAGCATTCTTGTGGGATCTCATGACTGGCCTTATTCTCGGTGCATCTCAACCACTTGGGGGAGATGGTCACAACCCACATTCCAGGGGCAGCCTCAGAACAGAGGTCAGTCTCCCAGCTCCTGCCGGAGTCCACAGCAGCCTGGTTTTGAGGACAGAAAGTTCCTTCTGTTTCCAGGGAGCAGGCATAGGTGTGGGCGCATGCGAGCTGCTGCCTGGGGAGGCAAGAGTGCTAGTTACATGCTTTTCAGCTCCAGGTTTCAGAGGCTTCCGAGGGACAAATTCTGCAGCAGCTGTCATGGGAAAGATTCTGAGCCCTGCGCAGGGCTGGGGAGAGATGAACATGTCCTGCCCTGAGCACGAGGGTTGGGTCCTTGGCTGGGGTCAGTCTAAGGAACTCAGCGTGGAGGTGGGCTGGGTTAGTGCAGCAGTTTCTTGAAGAGCAGGGTTGTTCTAGAGGGGTCTGTCAAGCAAGACCCTGGGCCAAGCCAAGCCTGGTGGAAGGCAGAGGAGGCAGGGGAGCGGAGCATTTAGAAGCAAGGACACCATTCTTCCAGGGCTAGGGCTGAGATCGAGGGAACACACAGGCCTGGTTCAACATGCGCCCAGGAGCTCAGGGACATCTAAATCACCAAGTGCAGATGTCCATCTGGAAGGTGGAGATGGGTAGGGGGTTGGCGTGTGTGGCTTCATGACACCAACCTGTGGGCCCACCGGGGACCCACCAAACAGACTAAAGGACCCCCTTCCAAGAACAGATGCTGTGCCCGAAAGAGAGAAGTGGAGGCTGAGAACAGGAAGCGCAGGAAAGCGGGCTTCCTTCCTTCCTCCCTCCCAGTGAACAGACTTCTCCATGCAGTAGGAGTGGGAGGGTGGGGTGGGGGAGGGGTGGGGGTTCTTTCACAACTGACTGCAGGCCACTGGCTGGTGGCCTCATCTCAGTGAAAACACCTACCCTTGCTCTATAAATAGGCTCTCTGGAGAGCGCTTCCACATGCAGGAGGCGCTGGCCCCCCCATGCTTCCTAGCAGCTAGGCATCATGCACTCTGGGCCGGCTCATGGTCCACCCCAGCATAGGTCCACCCCAGCACAGTCATGAGTGCCCCACAGCCTGGGCCAAAAGGCAGAGTGGAGCTTCTAGAGGGGCACTTCCTTAGTGTGCTGGAAGTAAGCCCACAGCGCTCACGGTGCCGGGGCTGGGGTGGGCTAGTCTCCCAGGTCAAGGAACCAGGCCCCATGGCCAAGCAGCAATGTTCACAGGAAATGGAATTATGCCCTGGGGCAATGATACTGCCTGTCACTGGCTCCCTCAGCAAACTTCTCCTCAGCAACCCAAGGTGGGTGAGGCAGGGGGAGGGGGCTGTTGGTGAGAAGCTGCCCCTGTGGCCTCTGGCCCCCCTTGGATGGTCACACACCAGTTTAGGCTGGGGCCATCTAGGGCCTATCTTGAGCCAATCATTAGGAAGATGAGGTTGATGACGGAGCTGGGATGGCAGGGTGAGGGTGACTCAACCTGCACTCGCTTGCTCAGCGGGCTGGGTTTCCGGGGTTCTCGTAATCACAAACATCCACTCCCAAACCTAGGCTAGCCCTAGTGGTGGCCGAAGTGGCTTTTTGCCTCCTCACCGCTGGAGATGCCTGTGGCAGGAGCTACTGAACAAGGAATGAAGGCCACCTGGAGTTCTGAGCCATAGACCCTGGGCCCACAAGTCCCCTCTCTCCATAGATATGTAGAGCCAAGTGCCGGGAAAGAGGCCTGGCTGTGGGGTGATAGACAGTCATATGCTATCCACACTCACACCGAGTATTTTACAGAGTCCAGAAAATAGGAGGGGGCTTTTCTTGCTTTCTTTTTTTTGAGACAGGGTTTCTCTGTGAAGTCCCAGCTGTCCCAGAACTTGTTCTGTAGATCAGACTGGCCTTGAACTCATGGAGACTCACCAGCCTCTGTTTCCCGGATGCTGGGATTAAAGGCATGCGTGTGCCATCAACTGCCCAGCTGAGGGGACTTTTCAAGACCAAAGAGCCAGAACCTGGGCAATGATGAGGAAGATCATCATCTCACCTCTGCTGCTCTGCCCACTACCAGGAAGAAATCATGAGCCGTGGCAAAGTCGTAAGACAGAGACCCCAGGACAGAAGGCAGGAAAATGGGAGAGTGCTTGCTCCAAGGCAGAGACTGTGGAAATAGCCACAGGCCTTTGGGGGCTCTTGGACCACACCTGTTAGATGCCCTTGAGTGTGTGTGGGGGGGTGGCACTCAAAGATGAGGGTCAGGTGGCTTGCCAAGTGTGGTTAGTTGTGGTTAACTTGACAAGCTAGAGTCATTTGGGAAGAAGGGTGGACCCTCAACTGAGAAGATACTTCTATCGTATTGGCCTGTAGGCAAATCTGTGGGACACTTTCTTGATTGATTGGTGTGGGAGGGTCCAGCCCCTTGTGGTGCCCCCCTCAGCTAGTGGTCCTGGGCTGTATAAAAAGGCTGAGTGAGCCATGGACAGCAAGCTGGGTTTGTTTCTCCATGGCTTCTGCTTGAGTTCCTGCCCTGACTTCCCTGAGATCTGGATGGGTAAGATAAGTTAACCTTTCCCTCCCCAGGATGCTTGGGGTCAGAATGTCTCATCATAGCAGTGGAGGCAAACCATGGCTGGGAGCAGGCTTGGCCACTTCTTCCCGGGGCTGCCTGGCACCATTGTCTCTCTGATAGTGCAGGCCCATGCCCTGGAACCCCCGCAAGCTGGCCAGGGCAACTTAACCAGATATTTCTTAGGGGAGGGATGAGGACAGCGGGGGAGGGAAAGAGTTAGAGCCTCTCTGGGAGCTCAGTTACTTAGATCCAATCGGGAGCCATCGCTGAACTTTCAGAGGGCTGCTTTTGTGCTTGGAGCAAGGGGGAGGGGGTGGGAGCAGAGGCGCTATCAGGCAGGGCCGATCTATCATTTGGGGATATAAATACTGTAAGAAAGGTCCATCTACATGACCTCCAACCTTGCAAGGCCCCCAAGTCCATTCAGGCCCTCCCCCGGCCCCCGTGTTGGACTCCCTAGCGTTCCAGACAGTTGTCCAGCTCAGGGAGCTGGAAAGTCTTCACAGGGGTAGCAGATGCCAGTGTAGCTAGTCAACGCCCGGAGTGGTAAGAGGACTGTAGACCTCCTCCCCAACCAGGTGCAACTTGGGTCCCCAGCTTCTTGGAGCAGGGAAGTTCTGAGTTGGTTCTTGTGGGAGCAAAAAGGACCCTTTGGGAAGAACTTGGCCCTAAATGAGCTTTGGCCCTTCCTAAGTCTGCCCTGGGCATGGAAGTAAAGATCACCCCTCATTCCAATGGAGGCTGAAAAAGCCCAGTGGTAGGTAGAATGTGAGCCTACTGAGAACTGTACTTTCCCTAATCCCGAGGTCACTGCGGCTCTACTAAGGAAGGTGTGTGTGAGCTGTGGAAACACCCCAGGAAGGCCGCTCTCACTTGGCAACAGCAACTCCAGGAAGGAAAGGTTCATTTGGTTCACAGTCCATCATGGTGGGGTAGTCAAGCAGCATGAGCTTGAAGCAGCTGGTCACCTTGCACCTGCAGCCAGGAGGCAGAGGGGGATGGAGGCCGACTCTCAGCTCCCACCTCTACCTGTTTTTTGAGACAGGGTCTCACTGTGAGAACAGGCTCAAACTTGGAGATTCACCTGTCTCTGCCTCCTAAGTGCTGGGACTAAAGGCGTGCGCCACACTCGGCCTGCGCCACACTCGGCCTGCCTTCACCAAAGGAGCCCATGCCGGGTGGCAGATCAGCATGGGAGGGGTGACCAGGTTGGCTCCACGAGCTGCACCCTTTGGGTAGCAGCCAGCTAAAGCTCCTGGGACGGGGTGCTTGCTACCTCCTGAAGCAGCTGAGAGGCTCTCCTGCCTGCCAGTGCAGGCTACCAGGCTCTGCCCTGCAGCTTCCCAGGGAACCCCAGCTGCTGTCCCTGACAATGGGCTCTGCCATCTAGTGGGACTGGACAGAGTGACAGGGTCCCTTGAGTCACTACCCTGCACTGGCACAGGGCAGCACCTAGAGGAACAGAGGTCATTGCTTCAAAACTCTGTAACCATCAGAGCCTCAGATAGGTTGGACCGAGTATTGAGGGGCACAGCTGGGGGCAGGCAGCTGTACCCCTCAGGCAGCTGTATCCCCAAGGTCTGACTCTGGAATTCAGCTCTCCCCGCCTAGGGCAAGCTGGAGGAGGCAACCTCCCACACTTGTGGTTTATCAGAAATCAACACAGGCTGGCCCTCTTGCCAGCCTGCACTCTTAGACATTCAGGCTCTCCTTCTGGAAGCTGCAAGGGCTGTGACCATGCTAACTAGCCGGTACTGACAGCTTTCGGGGAGTTCTAGCACCACACCCACCCCAGGGCAGGGCAGGACAGTGTGTTACGGGATAAGGACCTCCCTGGTTGGCTGAGTCTCAAGACGCTGAAGGCTGAAGGTACAGGCAATGCAGACATGGAAAGCACTCACTCTGGCTTTCCCAGTCCAGATGTAGAGGAGGGGCCCCTGGAAACCCTCATGAATGAATGGAAATGGGGTGCTCGGGGCCTCCACACCCTGACAGAAGCCAGTTAGGGGAAGGTGGGTAGTACACAGGGCTCTGGCTACCCTTGCCCTCCAGCACCCCTAAACAGCGCAAACAAGGGTATCCTTGGTCTCAGAAACAATCCTCCAACAACGCACCCCCAACCCCCCTGTTGCTGTTGTGATTCTCTTTACGGGCCCTGGGATGGAGGACTGATCAGGTCTTACCCAGAACAAGCCATTCCTGCAACAAGTCAGTCAAATTGGTTTTAATTTTCAGATTCCTTTGTTCTCATGAAGAAGTCACAGGCCCTGGTGAATCTATGTGGTGACAGAAATTAAAGAATTTGCAAAGGCCCTGCCCATCCCACCAAGCTTGTTCCTGAACAAACCTGACTCAGATGGGCCGACTGGGGGGTGGTCAGATGGAGAGAGAATTCTTGGTTCATCCAAGCAATGAGCTGCCAACTTAGAAGCCAGTCAGGGACCTGAAGGTGAGGTGAATGAAAACCTAGCAAGGCTCTCTAGACAGTGCGCCGCCATCTTAGGACTCTGAGGAAGCGCACAGTCCAAGTGGTTCCTTTTGGTTAAACCGAGTGTGGTCCTGCCAGCAGGGTCTCAAGTCTCCCTCTGTGTGGCACTGCCCACCGGGAGCGTCCTATGGTCGGGTGGGGAGGCTCCAGTACAAACAGCACTTGGGGGTGAGGGGGCAGGAGCACCCAATCCCAGCCTGGGCACGGATGTGGCTCCCTTTATTTATTTACTCATGTCCCCGTACAAATCCCTAACGGACTGAGCTCCTGATTCTTGCCCCCGATCATGATGGCGTTCTCTGCATGATTAGCTGCTGGTTCTCCAGGCACTGCTTCAGCTTGTCTTCTGCCAGGGTCAACCGCTGCTCCAGGATGGACACTGTCTGCAAAACAAAGGGGTCAGTTCAGGACGCAGAGCCCACCTTGCTGCCCTGGGGATCACCATAAGCCACCAAGCCTGCTGCCCAATGCCAGTGCCTCGCTTCCCACCAGCGGGCTCTGCCTGGCCTCTCGTGCCTTCTGTGCGCATCTCTGGAGTTTGTGGGCAGAAAAAGATGCCTTGTGGGGAGGCAGGTGGCAGATCTCACAGCCCTTAGCCCTTCTCCCAAGACAATCATGGCATAAGGAATTTTGACCCCTAGCCTGGCCCAGGCTCTGTCCATCACCAGAGACCATGGACCACCTCTTTCTGGGAAGGAAGTTACCCCGCAAATGACACTACTTCACCGGGTCCTGCCCAGGACACAGCCCTGTGCTGAGGGAACTCTTCCCAAGGTGGGCAGGGGCTAAAGCTGGGAGTGAGTCCCCGGAGCCCAGAGGGTGGGCGCTCTACTTGTGTGGGTCCTATGAGGACAGAGTGAGACAGTGCCACCTGGGGGTGAGGATGGGGGTGATCACTGGCAAGTGGCAATGCCACGTTGATCCACTTACTTCCACACACCCAGCACCAAGGCTGCCTACGGATCCAGTCACCTGAGGCTGTGTGACTTCACGGACCAAGACCCGTCTTGCAGACAGGGCTCCCACAAAAGTGGTCTACTTCCTCTGGCTTTGGGCGGTGTCAGGAGCGGACAGCTGCATACTTCTCAGAGCGGCTACCCATCCCAGCCTGTCCCACCAGTCACGCCTACCCTAACACTTGCTGGGTTGACCCACGCTCAGCTGGTCATTTCATTTCCCCCACTGAGGGTTGCTGAGTGCCTACTGCATACATGAAGGCCACACCAGCCACTGGGGATAAGGTCACTGCAGGCCAGGCCACTGTGAGCGCAGCAGGCTTGGTGACCACAGGCACTAGGAAGGTCATGTAATTTCACCAGTGAGATCTCTCAAGAGAGACTGTCCCGTTCCCTGAGGTCCCATGAAGGCTCGAGCTTGATCCAGAAGAGAGCTTTCATGCACTTGATAAAATGGAGACATTCTGGAAGAGTTTCCCCTTCACTGCAGCTGTGAATGTGGACAGCCTCCTGCGAAGACGTCAGACGTCACTGAGGTGCCCCTTCTGAATGAGCTAGCCAGGGATGGGAGGACTGGGCCATAGGGCAGAACCTGGGAAGACCTCTGCCTGTGGAACATGAACTGGACCTCCAGAGGCAGAGCGAAGCTCAAAGAACTCATCATATCCCCAAGCTGGCCAGCCAGCCAGCCAGGACCGGGTCTGCATCTCGTAAAAGTGGCAGTGGAAACAGCCCCCGGCTGGCCCGAGCAGCATTCCTGGAAGTTTCCATTGGCTGCTGTGAAACTCACACTGCCAAAATAATTCTTCTTCCAGACCCTTTCCGACAGACAGTCGAGACTCAAGGCCACAGTGGGGGAGCCTGGCTGGTGCCATTTCCTTTTCTGACTTTTTTTTCCTTCCTTTTAAAATTTTTAACAGGAACCCAATTTCCAAATGCAGAGACTGTGGACTCCGAAAACAAGAGACGTTGGACCAATGGCAATACTGGGGCCTCCACTTGGTTCCCTCGGAGGGAGGCCCATACTTCAGGCCAGCAGGAATGCGGTCCTTAAATACGTCCATATTAGATTAAATGGAAGAGAAAAGCACCCTCTGGTTCACAGCCACTCACTAATGGAGGGTGCTGGGCCCACCGGAGACACTTGGTTTCCAGTTCTGAAGGGGGGGGACGCCTTCCTTGCTTCGAAGCCTTGATCTAAGCACTCCAAATTAACCTCAAACTCGTGGCAATCCTCCTGCCTCAACCTTTCCACTGGTGGGGTGCTAGACAAGCACGCCAGGCCTAGCAAAGGACACTCTATAGGGTGCCCCTCACACCTGCATCTCCCCACTACTCTCTAGCTTCACTCCCTGCCAGGCTTGAAGAGTCACGCCATCCTTATGTTTGGACAACACTTCCCCTGTCCGTTCTGCCCCGAAGCCTGTTCTGCCAAGGGGCCAGGTGGCAGTGACCACCAGGGGTAACTACCAGGCAGTTCCAAGACCCATTGATCTTAATGTGTTTTGAGCCTTAAGGATGGGCTTGGACAGAAGGGGCTTTCTAGATATCTGTACATTAGAATGCTGCCTGGCATCCTCAGCTTCACATTTTCTCCTTGATGACCCTACTCTAATAAAGCACACAAGTTCATTTTCACAAAAAACCATGATCCCCATGACAAAGCTGGGACCTGGAAACCATGTTTTTTGTTTTTTTTAAACACCTTAAAATAATATTCTACAACAGAGAGAGAACAAAAGAAAAAAAAATCCTGCATTGTTACAGGGTTTTGCATAATGTTGAATGCTTTCTATATTCTTGGAGGAGGTCTGGCTGGCTGTCATGGATTCTCCCATGAAGTCTGGTTACTGCGTTGTAACTTGGCTTTTTTTTTTTTTTTTAAATGCCGAATGCCGTTTATTGAAGGAGGGAGGAGGTCTTAAATACAGGCTTACAGCACAATGGGGGAACCCCGGAGGGCAGAAGTTCGCTACCGATGTTTTACAATCTTGCATCTAAGCTGAAACCATGTTCTTGACGTCTGCTGTGGTATCTCAGTGAGACTGTAACTCACATTAATTTGGATTGTATACCCTCCCAGAAAAACTCTAGTTTTTTCTTCTTTTTCCTTTGTTTTGGGCCAAGGTCTCCTGCAGCCCAGGTTGGCCTTGAACTCACTATTAAGCTAAGGATGGCCTTGAACTTCTTTCCTGCCTCTGACTCTTAGTGCTAGGATCATAGGCATACATGAGTCACCAAGCCTGGTTAACGCCCAGTTTGGTGCTGGGTATCAAGTCAAGGCTTTGTGCAAGCTAGACGCACGCACTCTACCGACTCGGCTCTATCTCCAGCACATGATGTGCCTTTCTCCCCAGCAATGGAACAGTCCCGCCAGGGCATCTGAGTAGCAGGGTTGGGCACGCTCAGCCTGATGATGGAGCTGAGCAAGGCCCTGGCAGGGGTCTGCATGGGTCACAGCACTGTGGGAGAGGCTGCCGCTGTGCCAGCACCTAGCGGGGAGGAAAAGGGCATCTGGGTGGCATGTAGGACATCTGGGGCATCCCTGGTAAGGACTAACCTAGGCCACTGCATGTGGCCTTTTCATAGTGTGACTTTTACCTGTGACGAGCACATGCCTACACTAGCGTCAGGCGCTCAGAAGGCTCAGTAAATACTGCCTCACTGTCCAAGGACTAAAGCAGTTGCTGTTCCCTCTTCGTGCCCAGTGCCCATGCAGGGGAGCCCAGTCACGGGGTGGCTAGCTGCTCACCTCATTTCAATCCCCTGGGGCTTACCCTGGGGCTTCTCCTGTCACAGAGGGTCTGGACTGGCTGGGCTAGGAAATAAGGTCACACCTTACTCTCAGAGTGTGAGTGGGACTTTAAAGGTGCACCTGCACTATTAGGCGTCCATGCCACAGCCCACCAGCCTTGATTTTCTTTTCTACAAAGGCAGATGAGAACTAGCCTTCCAGGCCCTCCGGTGATCCACGCCGTCTCCCAGCGTGCTCTGGCCAGAGAGCAGAGCCCTAGCCCAGTCCCTCAGAGGGAATTGTGTCAGGTCAGGTGGCAGGTGCCCAAGGGAGAGCACCTGTCACAGCAACTTCCAGCCCCAATGTCTAAACACAAGCCACTAAACCAAAGTGTCTAAACCAAAGACACTCACTGCTCAGGGCTAGCCAGCAGCCCTGCCGCATACCTGATAACACTGAGAGTACTTTCCAGATCACTGGCGTCCCCTCCTCCGCCTCAGGCAAACCATCTTTTATTTGCCTGAACACTCAGGTTTGGCGGTATGGCAGAAGCCATAAAAGCAAGAAAAGATAAATGTTGGAGTTGGTGAGATGGCTCCCCAGATAAAAGCACTTGCCACAGCAGACTGCCACTCTGAGTCTGAGCCCTAGAATCCATGGTTGAAGGACAAAATCAACGCCCAGAGTTGTCCACTGACCTTTACATGCATGCTGCGGTATGCTTGTGTGTGTGGGTACATCATACATACACAATTTATTATTATTATTATTATTATTATTATTATTATTATTATTATTATTATTTTAAAGAAGCTGGGCAGTGGTGGCGCAGGCCTTTAATCCTAGCACTCGGGAGGTGGAGGCAGGCGGATCTCTGTGAGTTTGAGAGTCAAGGGCAGCCTGGTCTACAGAGTAGAAAAAGAGGTAATGTTATAGGGACAATTTTATCCAGGAATCAGTAGGCGGACAGGTGCCCACTGGTTTAAGGAGGCACAAGGCAAGCTTTACACTGGCCAGGGGCTGTGCTGGCCTGCCTGGCCTCAAGCTATGCCAAGGAAATGAGGCAGAGCAGGAGCTGAGGAGGAGCTCACCAGGCAAGAGACAACTGCAGGAGGCTTTCACTGTAGGCCAAGGAGAGAGGGCCTCAGGCCCACAGCCCACTGCATCCCAGAGCAGCAGGAAAGAGCCGCGAGGCACTCTGGCTGCTGCCTAGGAATAGTCTGGAAGAGGCTGCACCGCTGTGGGAAGGCAAGGTGGAATCAGGGATGTGAGGGCGGGTGGTGGAGGGGGGCGCTCAGACTGCAGAAAGGGAAGCCCTGGAGGAAAGTAGACAAAATTAGAGAGCTCTCTGAAGGGTGAGCCAAGACTCAGGTTAGAGAAGAAGAAAGCCCAGAAAGACAGGGAGTGTGAGGCCTGTAGTGGTCTGAGAAGAGGCACAGTGAGCAGCAGAGGAAGTGTTTCTGAGTGGATCTTCACTGTGTGTGTGTGTGTGTGGGGGTGCAGCTGGAGGGGACAGAAGAGGAGGGGAGGACAGTGAATCCACAGCCCCTGATGCAGGAAAGGAGAATCCAGTCTGGCAGGGCCAAGGGCAATGCTGGGGTGCTGCTGAGCCCTGTAGGCGATGGCCAGGGAGGGACTGGCCAGCCCCGGAACTGATGGGAAGGAAGTATTAAGGTACTGGGGTCCAAAACCA